AACGAACTTCTCCAATCCCCAATTTTCCAACAATTCTTTCACGCTTGTTACTTCCATAACTGCACTAAACAACTTATGTCCGTTTCTATCGATGCAAACCTTATTCTCGGTTTAACTTACTTCTTGTTCTAATTCTTAGGACTAGTAAGGAATAAGAAGTAAGTGAGCCGAGATTGAAGTTAACCTTAATCGGTGATACCCCTTTCTACCGAATTCACCATGAACTTGGTTATGCTATAAGCTATGGTCGTTTGTTTTTATTTTTTTTAATTTCAATTTGATGTTATGAGAACTAATTGCCGTGGTTCCTTCTGGATAACTAATCGGAATACAATTTCTTGGTTACTTTAACCAATTGCGTTGGTTATAAACACCAACAGTCCCTATCAAGTTTGAATTGCCAGACTAACCAAGTGTACATGATTATGGTAACCAAGTCAATCGTTATAGCAACCAATATACAGCTAACCAAGAAAAACTTTGTAAATTTAACCAAGCCTTTCTTTCCGTGCCCAACAACATATTTAAAAATCAAGCGAATCGGAGAGGAAGTCGCTTTTATGCACAATTACCTCAATATCTCATAATATTGCATTTTATAATGCTGCAATCTGGGGTTCTTAACTATTAGATATGGGGTTCTTAACTATTAGATAACATTTATGTTTTGTCCAAAATTTTAAAAGAGACGAAAGAAAGACATTATGCCGAATCAAACATTATGCCGATCTTAAATATTACCTAAGATTTATTAATGATATTTTCAAACTTTGATGCGTCCTCCTGAAAAGTTATAAAAATAGAGTTACGTGATTTTATCTAGGTAATTAGGAGATACGTTGATTCACGAATACAATAGTTCTTACTAACAATAAGATAGCGAGATGCATGGTTCTTACTAAGAGACTGCGAGATGCGACGTTTTATAAAATACTGGGAAAGTTACGTTGTTTTACTGATGGGCTGGGGAGTTACGATAATTTGTGAGCGAAACGCTGAGTTACACGTTTATTCATAGCACCCGTCGAATTGCACATTGTACAATCGTACATCGTCGACAGGTTTTTAAAGTGTTTTGATTTGATTATATGAAACAGAATTTTTAGACGCACATTGTAGTTAGATCCATATCTCTGCGACTTAATAAATCAACTATACTTTTATGAATGTTCTCGGCACTCATCTTCCCATTCTTTTTTATGGTAAGACCGTCAATCAAAATTTGTTTTCTTTTTGCAAACCTTTATTGCAAATGTTTCTTACACGTACTTTCTGTCGAGTTGTTCTATTTTCCTCGCAAAATTTCGAATTGTACAAAGTGTAAGTTTTGCTGACATCATTTCGCTTAATCGCGCGTTAACGATTATTAAAATTTAATTATATCAAATTATCGATTGCGCCATTCTGATCTTTAAAAATGTCAAAACCAAGTAAACAATTTAGGCGGCTACCGGCCGTAACATACCCCGAGGTTGCACGCGTTTCGTAACGCGCGACGAGAAGTCGTAACATGGCGGAGAAAAGATCACTTCGCGAGGTGTCGGGGGACCGGAGTTGCGAAATCCCGCGTGTCAAAAGTCAGTGAACGTCTTAAGAGGACATTGTTGGCGGCCGGCCATTATTTCAGCTTCGAAGTTTCGAGCGACCGGTGATGACAACGCATCGTTGCGAAGGAAGAGACGGCGTACTCCTCGTCCGCGACGACAACGAAGAGACGTCATGCACCACGAAGACCTGACAATGAAAGCGAAACCGAGGCTTCAATTATCCTCCACGACTTGCTGTGTTCAGACGACCAGAGCGACTATATATGCCAGAAAGCAGGCACCGTGCAGCCAGTCCGTGACACTGGATAGCCATATCTCATTCTGGAACTGACCTCAGGCCTCACGTTTTATCTTAGACAGTTCGCTTTGCCCTTATCGCCAAAGGTATTTACGTTAATTAATTTACATTTATAACTTATGTTCGTACGACACATGTCACGCGAATGTTGCCGGCGAACGATTGTCTCGATTTGCCGTAACGCAATATTCGCAGTGTCTTGAAAAGTCTAGAATATACTTCGAAATTTTATTTATTTATCCAAGTAATAAAATTGCCGAACCGAATCTCACTTTCAATAGTGTTTAAACAAAATATCTCTTCAACTTGTCTGCAAGCACTGTGCTCTTTTGTCGTAGAGCATTTTACAGTACTAAATATTCATGGAGACACGCAAATATTATCGGCATTTAATTTATTAATATGTTAATATAGTATATTAATCATTAGTTTATTGTCTCTTAATTGTTTCTCTCTCAGATGACGTTTTGTATCTCGCAAAGTTTAACTGTGGCAATAAGCTGCTTCGCCATTCTGGTCAATTGCAGTCCAAAGTTTGATGACGAAGGGTAAGTCTCTCATTTCAACGGTTAAATTATATTTTAAATAATACACGAAGAGGTTGCATCCGATATATCTTTTTCCTTCTTCTTCTTCTTCTTCTTCTTCAACTGGTGTACAGCTCAGGTGCGAGCCACGGCCTCCTGAAGTTTGGCCTTCTATCTGTCGCGGTCTTCAGCATGTCTCCTCCAGTTCTTCATATGGAGTAAAGTTCTTGCATCCTTCGCTACCCCATCCTCCCATCTCACTCTCGGTCTTCCTTTTGGTCGGTTTTTATATATCTTACAATTAGCCATATCTTTTTTCCAATATGTCCAATATTTCTTCCCTAACATCGCAAAAGATACTCTAACGGATTTCAAGAGACCAAGGCCCGGTTTCACAAAACGTCGTTTAACTTTAATCTCAGTTTAATTCATGTTTAAGTCTCTTTCTAAAGTAACAGTTGGAAAGAAACAAAAAACGAATTAAGCTGATTGTACGCTTAACCCATACAGCACCAAAGCTTTCAGAAACATTTCAGGAACATTGCAACATTGCAAGTTGCAATGTAATATTGCAGAGACGGTTCAGAGACATTCAATTGTAATATTTCGTCGACAATGTTTCAGTAACCTTGTAGAAATATTATAAAGTTGGCAAAATATATTTGTAACGTATTAGAATATCGTTTAGATTTTTTAAATTTATATTATTTCTCATATATTCCAAACGCAGCCTAATAGCATGTATAGCAATGCTACTTAATAGTCTCGCGATTTCCGATATTGCCAGTATCGGTGTTCCTCGTCCATGTTGTCCATGTTCAACGTGTATCTACGCGACCTCCAACGTGTTTCTTAACGATATCACTCTAATTTACGGTAATTTCTATTCCCATATAAATATATTAAAATAAACCACAAATTTAATAATAATTTTCTAATAAGTACTTCAGATAGAAATGTTGCAATGTTTTCTTATATATATCTTTTGGATGTCTTTACATTCTCAAATTTTATTTATTAGGACGTTCGAATAGTTCGTTTCAAATTTCCTATATATTATACATATACAGGAAATTTAAACAAACTTTCCGAACAACCTATTAAAATCTTAAGTATCCTGTATATTTATATAAATAACGCATAATGAAATTACAAATACATTGCACCATGTCATTACTGCCATGTTTATACATTGTAATATGTCTGAGGGAGGACATTTCAATGTTGCTTCAAGCTTGCAACAACGTTGTTGAAACATTTTGCAACCTCCATGCAATGTTACAATGTTGTAGTGAAAGGTATATGCAATGTTTCTGCAATCTTTCGGTACTGTATGGATAAACAACGTTGGTGAACCCGAGCCTGGGAAGCTAAAAATTATTTAACGGAAAAATTGATATCAGTTCTTTTCATCGTTCAGATGCCCGTGTATATCTGTCTTTACACGATCTATCGATAGGTTTGTACCGAGCTCTATCAGCTACATGGACAAGCAGGCGAAGGTGCAGGATCAGATGGCCATGCCATCGACTCAGATTAAACAGCACAACGAAGCGTCGAAACGCGAATCCGAAACGAACGATATTGCGGATCGCGGCCAGGAGGCGCGATTTGGTTTCACCAATATCGGAGGCACAGGGAGCGTGAGTATTGAGTCGAATTTCTCTTCCTGCTTTTCTCATATTCTATAAATATCTGTACTTTTGGAACGTATGCAAGCGTCCCTTCTATTTCGTTTTCACAAACAATTTCATCAAATGTACTTTAAAAACTTATTACCACTGATGTCTATTTGCGTCGCTAGTTTTCACGATAATCGCAATCGATTAATTTGGAAACTCGTTGTGGCATAATTAAATTAAACTTATGTAATCAATTAAATCCGATCCAGGGTTACGGGGTATCGCCTTATGCGCCAGCGAAGATAGATCTTGGCGGACTTCTCTTGGGAGCCATCATAGGCGTAGGATCGATTCTTATCATCCCAAAACTGCTCTACATCCTGTCGGGTACTTATGGCGCGTACGCGAGAAGTAAGTGTTATATCCTATAAAAAATCCATATTCTATAATGATAATCTATATTCTATTCCAGGGTTGGAAAAGTTACTTCATAAAAATATCTAGTTAGTTTCTTTGTTAAAAATGTAACTAGTTACAGTTATACATTACCAATTCTGAAAAGTAACGCGTTACAGCTACAGTTACTCAAAAAGTAACGAATCGTTACTTTGCAGTTACTTTCTTGCAATGAAAATAAAAATATAAAATATGCATTTGAATTGTAAATTGTCGATAAAGGCGTTTATGCGTAAATGCAAGGCCTAATGCGATCTATGGAGGTTAAAATATATCACGAGACACGGTAGTGTCTCGTGATGTAACATTGCAGTAATGACACGGTGCAATGTATTAGTAAAATTCATTATGCGTTATATAAATATACAAGATACTTAAGATTTAATTAAGACAAACATAAAGTTCTTCGGAAAGTTTGTTTTAAATTTCCTGCATATGTATAATATAATACAGGGTGTCTTGAAATTCGCGAATCAAAATACCATAGCAAGAAAGTCGTCGAAAAAATAAATTAAAAAGTTATTTGCCATTTTTCGTTCCGAGCAGTAGTTTTTTTTAGATAAAAAGGTTCAAAACAAGCCAATCATACCTTACGGTTGAACGGAAACCTGTCCGTGAGTCGCGCGTCGATAGTGTTAGTGCATTAACACTATCAACGCGCGACTCACGGACAGGTTTCCGTTCAACCGTAAGGTATGATTGGCCTGTTTTGAACCTTTTTATCTAAAAAAAACTACTGCTCGGAACGAAAAATGGCAAATAACTTTTTAATTTATTTTTTCGACGACTTTCTTGCTATGGTATTTTGATTCGCGAATTTCAGGACACCCTGTATATAGGAAATTTGAAACGAACTTTTCGATCAACCTAATGAATAAAATTTGAGAATATAAAGACACACATGCTAAGTAGCGTTGCTATACATGCTATTAAGCTGCGTTTGGAATATATGAGAAATAATATAGATTTGAAAAATCTAAACGATATCATAATACGTTACAAATATATCTTACAAACTTTATAATATTTCTACAAGGTTACTGAAACATTGTCGACGAAATATTACAATTGAATGTCTCTGAACCGTCTCTGCAATATTACATTGCAATTTGCAATGTTGCAATGTTTTTGAAATGTTTCTGAAAGCTTTGGTACTGTATGGGTTATTTCATGTGATTCTTCAATTTCAAGGATCTTAATTCAAGACACGATTGAACAAAATTTAAAACTATTCGGAGTAGCGTACCTTTTCCTCCTTCTTTCTCATTTCCGTTGAGAAAAATTGACCTTCACGAGAAGTTTTCCGCATCTCATGAATTTCATGCAACTTCTGTAATGCAATCAATTCAACACAGGTGATGACAGCGGCTTCACCCAGACGTTGACGAGGATCGACGACGTCCTGGCCCGTCACGGCATCGATACGACCTCGTGCATGCAACGTGCGGTGTGCACCTACACGCAGCAGGCGACGGCCGCGACAGGCGAAGACGGAAACAAGAACGAGGACGAGAACGAGAGCGGAAACGAGAAGGGCGGACGGGCGACGTCCTTCGAGAAGATGGTGAACGCGGTCACCACGAACCAGGTGTTCCGCACGGCTATGCAGGGTACGGCGATCGAGGAGGCGGTGAAGGCCGGTAGGAACGGCAGAAACTGCTCCAGATCGTACCCGCATTGCGGCTTCTCGATGGAGACGATGCTGTCGCTGTTGACTAACATCATTGCGACGGCAAACGCGCGCGTCCCGACGCCCACCGCCTCCTCATCGTTATAACACTTTGCTTACGTAATTCTCGCCCTTCAAAGAGGGACGATTATAATTTAAATAGCAAATTAAATCGGGAAAGGAGCGCATTAAAAAAATTGAAGACAACTCGCTGTATATGTACATACATACGACGAAGAAAGAGACAGAGATAAGAGCAGAGAATCCGTTAACAATTTAATTCATAACATTAGGATTATTTTGGATGCAATTATTTATCATAAGCAGCGAGAGCTCTCGATGGAGCTTGGGCGGTATTTCAGTTCGACTCGTATAACGATAGTTTCATCTTTATTTCGTAGAGATTTACATCTGCGTGTGTTGGGTGTCTGTGTGTACGTTTGTAAATTAACAAAAATGAAATTTCCCTCCCCCCTCAGCAGAACCTCCGTGCGCTCAGCGTGATACACTCCTCTTTCGCTCTTCAGTTATACGTAGAAAATGTTATTTTATTTTATATAGTCTATACGGCTTTCACCTTGAAGAAAATAGAATCGACTAGAATCGCGATACGGTCGCGGCGCATCGCGCTTAACACGTGTCAACAATCAGTACAGGCACTGCCCATGACGATGTCGTATTTACTTATACATATGTATATGCGTTACTCTCCCTTGGACAATACAACACGCATACACAGGCGCGAGGATGAATCGGAAAGTAAAGACACGACGGTTTCCCACTCTTGTTTCGCTTTTCCGCTCTTGTCACGGTGCAAGGCAACTTGAAAAAAATGACTCCGTTTCGAGTATTGCCTTCCTATCTAGATGTTATTATTGGCTGGAAAGTCAAATCGCACAGTCGAAGGAAAAGACATTCGGATTGCTCGTGATATCTAGAAAGGACTGGAAAAATTAGTGCGAAAGTTGAGATAACGGGTCCTAAATCTGCCTTTCAAAACATGTCCTGTATCAGAAGACGTGCTTCACGTAGAAGAATATAATTTCTATATGCACTAGAGATACATTAGTTGCTAGTTTATAAAATATAAGAGACATGTATTTTTACTTTTTCATTCACTTTCGCGTATTATTCTCGGAGCAGGACGTTTGTGTGCGAGGTATCGATTCCTAGGAAAGGAAAAGGACTTGCTTCTTAAAGTTACGTATCTAAGCCCGCATTGCCTTCGCTAGAAGATAAAATTATTTTCACGTTCAATAGGGAAATAAATTACAATTTGAAGCCTTCTAAGAAACAAGCGATAAGGAATGTATGTACTTGTCGAATATGATATGCTTCTGTAAAATGCATCTGTCGTTAAAATGGCGTCGAAACACGATGTCAATATAATAATTATAAATGAATAGTATTACGATAGTGCTACAACAATGGTGCTATCGTTAATAAAAGACTAAGCATTCTTGTGTGAATAAAAAGCACCATTCGCACGAAGATATCCTTGATTCTTTTATCACATTTCCAACATTTTACATATCTTGGAATTGGTCCTTACAAACAGGTCGCGGCTGAGTCAACAAAGTATAGCGATACATTCCATATTCGTACGATCAATAGATTTCTCGGAATGTCAAAGTGCATTTCGTAGATACTTCACAGCATAACTTTATAAAATTCAACGTCAATTTCAGCAATAATCGTGATAATTATTTTCTCTCGATACTGTCGCCGCGTTTAACGACTCGCAAGCTTCATTATTTACATTTAATAGGGATTCAATTCTATCAACAGCTAAATGAAAAACGGAAATACCTTAATGTCGATCACACTTTCTTCAGTTTCCTTAATGCTTATTAAAATGAGCAAAATTTCTTTCACGGATGACTTACCATGATTTAATACTGTCGTTGAATTTGTTTTATGTGTCACATCTTATTGCTAAATGTTGTATATTATTGATAGATCTCACCGAGTTAATTCCGTAATCGAAACACGTCTCGTATCTATGTACTGCCGATGTGTTTTAAAAGAATAATATCTCTGATATACGTATATTCATTTATAATATATGCGCGAGTGTCGAATTTGATCGACCGAATGACTTTTCTACGAAGCGAATCATGATAAAGCCGAGAGATTAACTTCTTTATAAGTAAAAGAAGGGTAATTAATGTTTTGATCTATTAAAGTAACTCTACTAAAATAAAATGTTCAATATCTGTAGATAAATCTTGATGTAAAATTATAAATAAATAATTAAATAACTAAAAACTCTCTGGAGAAAGAGAGACTCTCAAAGCCCATTTCTTAATCAGTGAAATAAATAATTCTTTCTTAAGATATAATCTTCGAGATATATGATAACTTTCAAAGAGGTCTTCGCAGATGGTAAGACCGGCGCTTGTAATTCCTTTCGTACAAAAATCGATTCGTCGACGATATCTATTTGTATTGTAATAATTTCCCTGATGTCTCTTTGGTTGCCTACTATCACATATCTTAGCTTCCGATACTATTTCCAATCTTCTCAAATCTCTCCCGAACGCGTACACCACTTTTTGACCATCACTTCATGTACTTGCGTTTCGGCAGCAGAAGAATAACTCCAATGGCGACGCAGATGTGCCACAGACTGTGAACGATATAATAATTCTTGCGTGTTTGCAGGAACGCGTAACAAACGAGGCCCAGAGAGACAAGAAGAACTCCGGCCGGGAAATAGATAGTCCTAGAAACAGAAGAGACGTCAGCATCTCGTGTCGCAATGAAGCAGGAAGAATATGAAATGCAATGGAAAATACAACTTCGGTTGCACGACAAAAAGATGAAACCCTTCAACTACATTATTTAGACCGTTGCCTTATTATTTATACGTTACAATGTTGTAGTCATTTCTATATTTGACCGCTTCTATTATGTATAATTTAATTGTTACTTTACCAAGCAGGGCCATACTTTGTTACACAACATTTCTACCTTCTGTTTTTGATGATAAAATTGATTTCGTCCTACATTCCTTTCTTTCTCACCTATATGGACGCGAGGGGTATCGGATGGTGCGCTTTCTCCTGCATCTCAGTCCCCAGGACAGCCCGATCAGAGCAGAACCGGTGACAGCCGGCAGCAGGAACACCCAGAGCGCCGTGCGGTCCATCTCGGCGCCCATCGCGAGCACAATCGCGCCGGTGACCTGGCAGAAAGCGGTCAGTCGCGGCCCGAACGACGCCATCGCCACCAAAGTCACCCAGATAGCAAGCAGCGCATTGAAAAAGTCGCAGAACTGCAGCACGCTCAGCCGCATAATACACACGCTGTAGACCTCCTCGCCGGCCTCGCAGGCGTGATAGAACGTGGAAAAGAACATGACTGCGACGTAGGCGACCGCTTCGGTGAAGTATTCGCGTCGTATCGCCACGTAGATCGAGCCAAGAAAGGCGAAGTTACTGAAGGTTAGGGCGAGCAGCTGTAGGAGTATACCGCTGCTGCTGAGAACGTACGCGTTGTCCGCACAGTCAAAGCCGCGGTAACCGCCGGTGCAGTAGCACGCCGAGAAAACGAAGCCGCCGCTCATGTAATGCATACACTTGCCACGGCCGCCACAGCGACCCTCGACACACGGCGACGACGACACAATGCTTTCCACCCGGGCGGTGAGGCAACGTGACAGGCAGTCGCATCTTTCGCACGCGACATCGCCCTGTAGACAAGTGCGGCCGCAGGCGCAAGAGCTACTGCTGGTGCTGATGTTGCTATTGGCGCCGCTCATCGTCTTTTTCTCCTCCTCGGGGCAGAAAACGCTCAGGCTGACATACCAGGTTCCTGCTTCGGGGAAAGGCACGTGCACGTAAGCCGGTTCGGACGCATTCACGTACACATCCGCCGTCGTGAGACCTTGCGCGCGGGCGCAACCACCGCCCGAAGTAATGTTCGAGTAGTACCCTAAAAAATTCCGAAGGATGAAAGGGCGAAGAGACTCTAGAAATGAATCTTAGTGGATATAAATTTTATATAGACTATGTGCGCTATTTTTTTTACATATTGAATCGCGAAAGAGGATTCGTCGTAAAATAGATATCGCGCGAGCGATCTACTGTTATTTTGAAGCTATTTGTTGAAGAAGACATCGATAACTTTCTATTTTGTCCTCGAAAGAAATTAATTCAGCAGAAATCTATAGGACACGCGAACCAACCTAAGGAAACACAGGCTACGAGGACGATGTTCTTCTTGTACTTCTCCTCCACGTCGACCAGCTTGAAGCCTAGAGTGACCGTACCGCCGACATCGTACACCCGGCCAATCTCGAAGCTAAGGACGGAGAGAGCATCGGCGGTAATGTTGAAGGGCTGGGGCTTCGTGTCGTTGCCGCGCAGATGTTCGTAATCGAAGAGGAAGAACTCGGGGAAGGATTTTCTCGACAACACCACCGGCATCACCTGATCGACCCCGACGTCTGTCTGGCGGCTTATTGGCAGCTGCACCGTCACGTTCGACACATTTCCCGATAACAGGCGAAGGGTCACGTAGTGGAAAACGCCTACGTAGGGCCTGAAGGAGAGCGACATCGCCGTGGAGTTGAGCAAGCTGTCGACGAGATTGTCCTCCGCTGTGACGTAGACAGCAATGTTGCAATCCTCGGCGCAGGACGACTTCAGGGACAGACTCAGTTCCTCGAGACCGACGTCCGGCACAAGATACTGCACTATCGTTGTATCGGAAGTCTCGTCCAACTGCACCTTGTACTCGATCTCAGGATCCACCAACGATGTCGTAGCTGGCATCTCCACGAACATTTCGGCGTCCATCACAGTCTCGCAGGACACGCTGATACCTATGCAACAGCAGTTTCCCGTTAATCTTCAAGAGTCCAGTGGCGATTGGTGAGATCCTTCTTCGCGAAAGTAGCCACTTTTATTTTCAAATACCGAAAAATAATTCACTTTCAAGAGAATATTTTTGAAAAAGGATTCCTGACCAAGCCCGTTCTTTTTCTCGTTCAAAAGTTATTAAGCGTAGCGTCTTGATGCCTACTTTCCCGAAGATACACTTCCATTTATCATTCCGGAACTCGTTTCGCATATTCGTTCACTTCGAAGCAGGATAACGGTACTCTCTAAAAGTCACTTAATAGATTGCCACTGAAAACAGTGAATACTCACTGATTGACAGTTGTAAATATATCACTGAGATTTTCAGTGGTATTCTTGTAACTGTGATTAGTGACTATTTTCCAGCGAGAAATGACTCGTTGGATCGATGTCGATTCGACATTGTTTTGACAAGTCATTTCTCACTGGGTCACTGTTTTTAATGGTAATCCACTGATTGACTTTCAGAGAGTAGGGAATTTGCTGTAGAGATTTTGGGATGTGTGGCCTCTGCATCCATATGATGGTCTTCTACCTACTTTATTTAGCAAATAAATTAAGTAGGCAAGCGATAAAGAGTATCGTGTGGGCCTGGATAGCTCAGTAGGAAGAGTAGTCTAACTAAGTAACGTATTCGGTGAAATTACTTAGCTTACCACAGTTCTTACATGCTATTGAATTAATTCTAAACTCCACTAGTTTTAAGTTCGACGGACAGTTCTATGAGCAGATCTTCGGAAGCCCCATGGAGTCTCCTTTGTCACCTATACTGGCAGACATGATCATGAAAGACTTGGAGACAGTTTGTCTGCAGAACCTAGGATTTGATGTTCCCATATTCTATAGATACGTGGATGACATTCTCACTGTATTATCTAAGACCAAGATTGATTTTGTTCTCTCTATATTTAATAATTACCATCCACGATTGAGATTCACTCATAAAAACGAATCACACAACTCCATTCCGTTTCTTGACGTGACACTTATTAAAGACGACAATAACAAGATCTTGACTAAATGGTACCAAAAACCTACTTTTTCTGGACGATAAGTTAATTACTACTCTAGCCACCCACTTAAATATAAAATTAACACCATTATTAGCCTAGTTGACCACGCAATTTTACTCTCTGAGAAAAACTACTAGAAACAACATAGATCTTGTTAAGAAAATTTTAATCAATAACTACTTCCCTAATAAAATTATTAACAAACACGTAAACACTAGACTAAACGAACTGAAAAGACGGGATACCATACATACTGACTGCGCGACCGCTAATAAAAAAATTTTGACCCTAAAAAAAGCATTATCCTCCCCTATATTAAAGGGCTGACAGACAAAATTAGCACAAATTTGAAAAAGAACAGGTCTAAACACCGAGTGAGTCCCGATTGCGAACATAACCGATCGGACACGGCAATATTTCCCGATCAGACACAGGCCCGATCGGACACATTTTGTACCGGGCTTGCGTATTTCTGTAAAGCACAATATTCTTGTGTACGTATGGACTTACAAATGATGGAAAATTATCTGCTTTACAGAACAGTCAACCCTGGTTAAATATATATAAATATCCCGACCCATCTAGAGTCACAGTTTGCCTTAAATTTCATGTTATAAACATTTGAAAACCCATCTAGAGTGTTCGATCGAGTCCGTGTCCGATCGGGCCTGTGTTCGATCGGGCCTGTGTCCGATCGGGACTGTGTCCGATAGAATCTGTGTCCGATTGCAACCATATGTGTCCGATGTAAAATGTGTCCGATCGAGCCCGTGTCCGATCGGGACTGTGTCCGATAGAATCTGTGTCCGATTGCAACCATATGTGTCCGATACAAAATGTGTCCGACGGGAGTGTGTCCGATAGGAACGGTGTCTGATCGGGACTGTGTCCGATTGGGGCTGTGTCCGATCGGGACTGTGTCGGGGCTGTGTCCGATCGGGAAATATTGCCGTGTCCGATCAGTTATGTGCGCAATCGGGACAATCCCTAAACACCATCTACACTATCCCAAAAAATTAGATAAAATTATTAAAAGAGGCAAAGATCAAGTAAATTGGTACAAAAAACCGAAGTCATCTACCGTATTAATTGCAACGACTATGAAGCCTCTTACATTGGGCAAACCAAACGACACCTTCTGACCAGAATCAAAGAACATAAAAATGACATAAAAAAAGACGAAAGCTGCCACTCCGTGGTCAGCAAACACCGTGCATCACATGATCACGAGTTTAATTGGTCGGAACCAAGAATTTTATATTGCGAGCGCCTTAGGAGAAAAAGAGAAATCGCCGAAATGTTTTTTATCAAAAAGACCGATAACACGCTTAATTTACAGACACCGAAAATTTAAATGAAATATACGACTGTGTAATCAAAACTGTTTAGTTCGCATCGTGATCACCTTGTATTGTTCTTAAGACATGACTAACAAATTAGTTCGAGCCCAGCTACCACAGTGCTAACACGTATACATATACATATATTTTATAACTCGACTCTGTCTTATTCGACGACGATGACTGACTTAGGTGCGTTATTGAACTTTTAACTTTTTAACTAAATCCTTTTTATTTATTAACCTACATTGTTCATAACTGCGTTGTTGTTGTTGATTTGCAGTATTACTCGAAAAGGACCCAAAAGAATAGGGTCGAAACATTGTTTGTAATAAACTAATTAAATAACTAGCCAGTTGGGTTGACTATAAGTTTCCCCTCTTTATTTTTAATTATTACTGGTGACAATAAGCAAATTCTCCTTTCGTAACGTAGGAATAATATACTAGCAGCGCGACTCCAGAGTGATGCTTGGTATCTCACTTAGGGCCAGTTTCATAAACGACGGTTAACTGCTAACCGAAGGTTAATTAATCCTGTGTCTTTTCTTAGAGAATCAGATAGAAAAAGATAGGAAGTTGACTGAACTCTGGTTAACAGTTAACCGACGTTTGCGAAATTGGCCCTTAGGGATGTGCCGGATAGTGAAATTGCCGGATACCGGATATCGGATATCCGGTAATAACGTGAAACCTGATACCGGATATCTGAACGGATACTGGATATCCGACTGAATACCGGATATCCGGCTGCCCGTATACTGAGAAAAATTTTCATCGGATAAACCAATTAAATAATATGTCCGATGGTTAATTTTTCCGATTAAATTATGGATATATCCGATAAAATGTATCCGATGAAATGCAATTACCGATGAAATTTGATTGAAAAACCGATCAAATTTTTCATCGGATATACAATTTAATCGGACATATCCGTTTGTTATCATGTAGTTGAATTATCCAATTATATTTAATCGGACATTTTTCTCAGTGTACAGCACAAAACTTGCAGTTACATTGCAATAACATTGCTACAATATTGCAACATTGCTGTAATGTAGCTGCAATGTAACTGCAAGGTTTGTGCTGTATGAGTGGATATTCGTCACCAATTTAAAAAACAATATTATATTGTAATTATTGTTAGAAGTTTGAAGTGTTGAATGTTGCAGCTGCGGAGCGCCTATCTCTTGAACATAGTATTAGCCATTACTTTAGACAAAAATTGAGAGAAACCTCGGAAAAAATACATACCAGCTACATTTTTGCACAGACCTTCATTTTTATGTCAGATTGAAGAAGTCAAAAGTTTACCATCGTACAGTGGCCGCTAAGAAAAATAATTAAACAAATAGGGATCAAATCTCGGTTTTTTGCAAATATCTCGTTAAATATCGATTTTACGAAGAAAGTACAGAGAAAAATTAAAGAATGGAAAATTTTACATAAAAAATGTTCTGTAAGCTTTTTCCGTACAAGCGATACTTTTTACGTAAGAAATTATGCAAGATGAGCATTGCAGTGAGGTTACGAAACGCTCCGACAAACGTCAAACGGATTGAAGCGTCGCATGCGCGCACAAAAAGTATTAAAACTTTTAAACGAATCATCATACAGACATGAGCCAAGGAGCATTGCAAAGCTGAAACTTTTAGCTTTCCAGTGCTATTGATTTCATATATTATTCTACGACAATTTACGACAATTGTACAATAGTTAAAACAATGTGTTACATGTCATTTTCGCCTTTTTTTATAAAACAGCCATAAGTCGGTTCCAAATCGTTTAAAAAAAAATCGCCTGCAGGATATCACAGTACACATTTCATACATTGACTCCATAAGAGGAAAAAAATTTTTTAAATTTTCTTCTTTGAAATAAAGCTGTCGACATTTTTAGAAATTTTCAAGATTTTTGATGAAATGTAAAACTTGAAATCGTCATAATTTTGCGAAAAATCATTAGAAATGTCTAACTCTCAATTGTTTTTTTTTTAATTTTTCTAGAATGATTTTTCGCAAAATTATGACGATTTCAAGTTTTACATTTCATCAAAAATTTTGAAAATTTCTGAAAATGTCGACAGCTTTATTTCAAAGAAGAAAATTTTTAAAAATTTTTCCTCTTATGGAGTCAACGTATAAAATGTGTACTGTGATATCCTGCAGGCGATTTTTTTTAAACGATTTGGAACCGACTTATGGCTGATTTTATAAAAAAAGGCGAAAACGACAATAACACATTGTTTTAACTATTGTACAATTGTCGTAAATTGTCGTAGAATAATATATGAAATCAATAGCACTGGAAAGCTAAAAGTTTCAGCTTTGCAATGCTCCTTGGCTCATGTCTGTATGATGATTCGTTTAAAAGTTTTAATACTTTTTGTGCGCGCATGCGACGCTTCAATCCGTTTGACGTTTGTCGGAGCGTTTCGTAACCTCACTGTGCAATGCTCATCTTGCATAATTTCTTACGTAAAAAGTATTGCTTGTACGGAAAAAGCTTACAGAACATTTTTGATGTAAAATTTTCCATTCTTTAATTTTTCTCTGTTGTACTTTCTTCGTAAAATCGATATTTAACGAGATATTTGCAAAAAACCGAGATTTGAGCCCTATTGGTTTAATTATTTTTCTTAGCGGCCACTGTACAATGGTAAACTTTTGTCTCCTTCAATCTTACGTAAAAATGAAGGTCTGTGCAAAAATTTAGCTGGTATGTATTTTTTCCGAGAGCAAATCCTAAAGTTACTGTACTATATTTGATTCAGACAAACTTATACATGAAATTACGCCCTTGATTAGAGCCCTTATTAAAATAATTTTACTTTTTTATTAATGAAATAAAATCTCTATAAAATAAAGTAAAAAATTTTAATAAATTTTAGAGTTTTTGGAGCAAACAATAAATAGTCACAACGATTAGTATTGAAAAAAGGGAATAATCATTAATGTCAAAGTGGAATGTTTCATATTATTGGGAAAAATATTACTGCAGCCAAGATGATCCTGGCTGAGACAATATTTTTCGCAATAAGTTCTTTTAATTAAAAGTTATAGACAGTTGTGTCGAATAGCGCTCTAAAAATTATAAATTTAGTTAACAGAATTTGCATTACTGACGAAGTATTGTTGAAAATAAACCTTTGCAAAAAAGATCGTACATACGTTAGAGAACTAATCTAATAAAAAATATTTATTTGTTCCTAGAGGATTCGAATCTCCTATATCAAAGATGCAAACTATCAAATTTTTAATATAAAAACTTATTGTTAGTCGAATATTTTGCCGGATACTAATAAAATCCGACTATCCGGCCGGATAATAATATACGGCACATCCCTAATCTCACTCAATGGTTTTTTTATTTCAGACATATTGTTATTGAAGAATTATTAAATAGAACTGTAAAGACCGTGTACGTTATAAAATACAGAAGAGGCTAATACAATTTTATTTTACCCCGGATTCTTTTATTCGTTGAAAAGGGTATGACATCGTTTCTCTCTACCTTGCTGCTTGATCTTTCCTTCCTCAGGATCGGTCCACGATCGGAAGGCGATCGCGTACCAGTCACCCGCTGGCGGAGCCTCTATCTTGATCGTGTATTGCTCGCCGTTACTTTGCATATCCAGGCTGTAATGTCGCCGACGATTCTTCGTCTCCATCAGCTTCGCGGCCACCTTCGAACCGTCGGGCGAGACGAACGGCAAACTAGCGGACTTCAGATGTAACGAGACGTTGAGCGGCGAGCATTTACCTATTCCGCCAGTCTTCTCTTCTTTCGCCGTGAATCTAAAGCGACAGAATATCTTCATATACAACGGAAATTCAGATGGGCAACGGCACCCTAATAGCACTCAAACATTTTTTAAATGTTGCAAAAATATATTTTTAAAAGATAAAATATTCCTGAAATTATGTGAAAAATATTTTTAAAATGTTTCTAAAAGCCCAAATAAAACTAGTAAAAAAGATTTTAGTAAAATATTTTTTTGAAAGTTTTTTAAGATATTTTAAAAGATGTTAATACATATATCAAAATCTTTCATTATATCGCAAAATTATTTTTTGGAACATTTTCATAGAACAGAATATTTTAAACAATATATGTGAAAAAGCCTAATGCGGGTCAACAAGGCAAGATGTAGGTAGCCCGACTTGTAGATCTTCAAATCTTTCAGAAAAATCGTGAATCTTTAGAATCTTTTGATTCTTAACTCTTCTGACTTAAAATATTCTAAAATCTTTAGAATATTTTAAGTCTTTTAAGATATTCCTGCCATGTGTGTGTGTGTGTGTGTGTGTGTGTGTGTGTTTGAAAACTATTGAAGGGAGTTATCGCGATCGATTGAACGAATGTGCCAGACATGCGTGATCGTTTGTTTTATGTGCATGTATATGTTATTATCTTAGGGCGCAAGCGGGCACGTAGCATGTTTTTTTCTCAGTTCAGTTGCTCTCGATTTTTCGTCCAAGTCAGTCGCGTCTTTAATATTAAATAAAATTGCCTTATTTCGTTCAGTCTTCTTGTCTGTGTTTTGCATCCGCAATAAAAACTCTAATTGAATCAACAGGTTATGAGCCTAGGCACCCTAGTTGCGTAATTATTTGCGGAAATAGATAGCGAGATATTCGTGCGATACGAGAATTCGTGTGATACGAGAAAAGACGCGCGTGGACACATTAGTCGAGACGAATTCGGTCGCGAGTGAACAGAGTTTCTTTCATAATTTAAAAAAATGCCAGACTATTTCTCTACAAGACTTGTGAAACATTTTGATGGAACAAAGTATCAAGGCTGGAAGTTTCAGATCACGGCCATGCTCATGGCTAACGAGATCGACGATGTCGATGGATCAAGAATCAAGCCGGAAGAAAAAACGAAGCACTCGTAAAAGTGTGGACTCGCGACAATGCTAAAGCTATGGCGATAATATCCTCGGCCATGGAAAATTACCAACTCGAAAGTATTCTCGTCTGCACAACCGCGAAGGATATGTGGGTCAAGCTCAGCCGCATACATGAGCAAAAGTTGGAATCTAATAAGCTGCTTCTCACACAACGTTTTCACGAATACAGAATGTCTTCGTCAGATTCAGTGGTTTAACACATCTAAAGTGCAAAATATGGCGAGATAGCTTACCGACCTAGGAGAGAACATATCTAATTTAACCATTATGACGAAATTTTTGGCGAGTTTAACATCGAAGTTCAACACTCTAGAAACAGTCTGGGACAGTGTAGAACCAGCAAGACAAACAGTCGAAAATTTACAAGAGCGACTCATTTGTGAAGAAAAACGCTTAGAAAGAGAAGGACAATCGAATAGCGCATTAGCTGTTGTCAAGCAGTATGGCGTGAAAACAAATAGCAAACGTTTTCAAAGGAAAAACAAGCGTCATCCCAGAAGAGAGTTCGAGAAGAAGGACATTCAATGTTATCGTTGCCAGGAGATGGGTCACTTCACCGGTGAGTGTCCACAGAAAAAGAAACAACATGAACGCGGAAAAGGAAAATGAAATACCGATTGTGCGTTTGTCACTTCAACATCCGAGAAGAACAGCAAGTCTCGAGGAAGAGACGGTTCCCATGTGAAACCAACAGCAGAACACGCACGTCAGTTGTTACGCGCTAACACGAAGGACATTTGGGTTTTGGGATAGTGGCGTGTCGGCGTATATGACCTCACGTCGCGAGTGATTTTTAGAACTCCGCGAAGTGTTACTGGCGATACAGTGTCACCAGGCGATGATGACGAGTGCGAAGTAATCGTTGTCGGGAACATTCCTATCGAAAGACTCGTAAATGGTGTGTGGAAAAAGTCAGTAATCGAAGACGTTTTACTAGTGCCGCGAGTGACAAAGAAACTGTTTTCAATCGGAATGTGCACCACGAACGGATTTCGAGTGCAATTCGATATCGATAGTGTCAAAGTCGTGCAAAACAGCGTAATCGAAGCGACGAGAATGAGACAATCGAATAAATTATACCGGATGTTTTTCCGTTTGCCAAGCTCGTGTAATAAAGCAAATATAACCACGCTCAATTTAAAAGTGTGGGACGAAAGAATCGGACATATTCACAAACGCGCGTTAAACGATTTAGTAAAAGACGTATTAGTGGAAGGTATTAATCTTATAAACGTTGAAGATTTCTTTTGCGACGCGTGTCAGCTTGAAAAACTACACAAACTATCATTCAAGAAAACGACTGATAAAGTAAGCAGAAGAACTGGCGAGTTCATACACAGCGATGTCTTGCGATTCTATAATGTCAGTTCCGTCTCTCGCAGGTGCTCGATTTTTTGCGACGTTTAAAGACGATGCTACCGGTTTTGATCATGTTTACTACTTACGACACAAGTCGGGCTTATTTGATTGTTTTCGAAAATATGAGCAGATAATTGAAAATAGTTCGAACGTCCTTTGAGGACGTTTACGGGCTGACAACGGGCGCGAATATTGCAACGAGAGGATGACCATTCTCGAGGAAAAAGGCATCACGATGGAAAACACCGCCCCATACACCCCTGAAGAGAACGGGAAATCTGAACGAGAAAATCGCACGATCGTCGAGTGTGCGAGAACGATGTTACAGGCGAAGAAGCTACCGACGCGACTTTGGGCGGAAGCCGTGAATAGAGCTGTCTACACGCTGAATCGAATAAGAGTTTCTCAAACAGGCGGAAACAAAACTCAGTCATATGAGAATCTTCGGGTTACCAGTTTGAACACATTCCGAAGGAGTTCACAAAGAAGTTTGACGCTCGAGCCAAAAGAGTTCTTCTCGTGGGATGCGAAGAAGAATCGTCAAATTACAGTTGTATAATCCAGAGAAGAAAACTGTATCTGTTTCCAGGAATGTGTTTTTCCATGAACAAACCGGAGTACAAGCACTGAGATCAAGATAGTATCTGAAGTGAAACTCAGCCTTAAAAACGGAAACAGTTCAGGAACTAACTGAGCACGGAACAGACGATGCTGCAGAAAATCTCGAAGCAACACTGGACGATGAAGAGATTGAGAATGGAAAGTTTTACGATGCTGAGGATATACCTCAAGAAGTAGTTAAAATTTTTCAACAGCACGGGCAACAATTCAAGGAAACCGGCAAGTATCACTCCTTGTGAGATCGTAAACTCATAAAACGACAGTCCAAAAACGAAGGAAATCTCGCGGAGTACAATGTACCAGGAGCCTTCCTGGAAGCGACTTCAGGGCCAGATAAAGCAGAGTGGACCAGGGTGATCGATGAAGAATTCGAGGCACATCATCGTAATAACACATGGACTCTGGTGCCGAGTCTCTGGTAAGAAGACAATAGATACTATATGGGCCTTCAAAATTCTTTTGTTTCTTGCCACACCATCGACCTTAGATAATAGTGTCCAACAACTGATGTTATTAATTTATTAATTATTACACCAAGGACCAAAAACTTGGTTTTCCTCCGTTAGAGGGAATGGGATCATGGGGAGGGAAGGGAAAGGGAAATTCTAAAAATCGCGTATCGACAGTTTATTGTGCGGTCGACAATTCGTATCGACGCACAGTTTCTGAAAAGTCGAAATAGACGCGTAAACAACATCTTAAAGTTATATACTTGTTATTGCGAATAGTATTATCACAGCCCCAGTGGTCGAGCTGGCTAAGATGCCCGTCACAGATTGTAGGGAGGTCCCAGGTTCGAATACTGGCTGGGGTAAAATTTTTCGCAATAAGAATTTTAATAGCCAGATACGGTCAATAAAAATCACTATAGCCAGTGTAGGTCGTTAAAACTTAAGAAAATTTGGTTTCGAAGTTACTGGCGA